AAGGTCGAACTTCCTCTGGAAACAAGTTTCATGCCGAGGTAAAATCCTGGCCCTTCGAGCTGTCTGATAGGCAGTGAGGTTGAAAGGGGTACATAGTGAACAATTCTATGTTTGATCTGCCGTGTGTGATACTTGATCTACTCGCCCAACCAGATTGTTAATTCGGAGAATGTCAAAAATTGGAGTGGAAGATCTTATCGCAGAGAACGAAAAAAATTTCGCGATAGCGTCAGCCAACCTGTTCGCGCATGCCTGTGAAGCGAGAAAGTTACCACTAGGCCACGATGCCACTGTCACTTGGCAGGCGAGCAGTGCTAAGATGCTAACACCGCGTGTAGAACAAACTTTGACCACACGTGACTCGTTTGGGAGGTCCCCGTAGCACTTTGATCTGCATATTCGTAATCAGCATTCGAGACTCTATCGATGTACCTAGGTCTCCATTCAAAGTTCCATGGGAATTTGAAACCATTCCCTTGTTAGTAGAGCTCGAACTCAGTTTAAACGTCTGAAAACAATAACTTCGACCTCATACATGTCACCCTGGACGCTCTTTCGGGCTGGATGAAGAACGACTCCCATGCAGAGACCACGCACTAAGTTCTTGAACGTTTCCTATCAAATGAAGGTTACGCTCAGTGGTACTGTGAGAGCATTCCACGATCGCACCCGATTCCATTGTTGTCTGGCGTTGAACTCCATGGGTATGCTGGTTCAACAGCTAACCCTTGAACTGAACATGGTCTCTGGTGCTATGTATATACCATTTTCACTTTAAATCGGACACTTTTCAAATCAAATCGGACACACCCCTTACAATGGGCAGTTGAGAACTAGACCACACTAGGTACTGCTGCAAGCCCCGCCCCAACACCCCCGCCCACTTCTTAGCGCGGCCGTGGTTTTCCAAATGTTTTATGAATTCTGCTTCTTCGAATTTTTTTCACTTTTGCTACTTGACACACACATTCAACTGAATAGGTTTGCTACCGACACATATATGACTCCGCCCACTTCACAATGAAGTGACGTAAGTTCTGAATTTTTATAACTTTTTTCGACGTCGTTTTTTCACATTCAATCTTCACAAAACGAATATAGCCATGCATTTACACACTAGCACACTAAGCCCCGCCCCTCTGACCACGCCCACTTTCGTTTTTCGCGGAATTTTGATTTTTCTTCCGAATTTTCACTTTTTTAGGCTGTGACAAGCGGCCCCGCCCACTAATGGAAGCTCCGCCCACTTTGTAGAAGCCCCGCCCACTTTTCAAAAATGATGCAGATCGGCGAGCTAGTGACCGTACTAGGTTATGGCCTCTCCCGTCACATAGAATGAAAAAAAGGGAAAGACCAGAAAAAAAGGGAAACTTTGTTCCGGGTGACGGGAGAGGCCATAACCTGTACGGTCACTAGCTCGCCGATCTGCATCATTTTTGAAAAGTGGGCGGGGCTTCTACAAAGTGGGCGGAGCTTCCATTAATGGGTAGGGTTGTCACAGCCTAAAAAAGTGAAAATTCGGAAGAAAAATCAAAATTCCGCGAAAAACGAAAGTGGCGTGGTCAGAGGGGCGGGGCCTAGTGTGCTAGTGTGTAAATGCATGGCTATATTCGTTTTGTGAAGATTGAATGTGAAAAAGGACGTCGAAAAAAGTTATAAAAATTCAGAACGTTACTTCATTGTGAAGTGGGCGGAGTCACATATGTGTCGGTAGCAAACCTAATATGTCTGTCAAGTAGCAAAAAAGAAAAAAATTCGAAGACGCAGAATTCATAAAACATTTGAAAAACCACGCTAAGAATTGGGCGGCTGTGTTGGGGCGAGGCTTGCAGCAGTACCTAGTGTGGTCTAGTTCTCAACTGCCCATTGTAAGGGGTGTTTGATTTGAAAAGTGTCCGATTTGGTTTGAAAAGTGTCCGATTTGATTTGAAAAGTGCCCGAAGTGAAAATGGTATATATGCGAAGTCGGAACAGAGATCTCTCAAGCACCCAAACCAATATCCAGTTGTCCTAGAGGCGTTGCTTCGTGGCTATGTCGATCACGAATGATCTTACCCCTCTTTAGCACCTGGATTAAAAGTTCAAAAATGCTCTTTCTTTGTGCTCTTCCTTGTCCAGTGACATTCCATTTTAACGTCCTCAAAATGAAACTCTATTTCGCTACGAATGAAGGGGCGTGTCAGGCAGTATGAGTGTGCCACGGCGCCAAACCCGTTCTCTGCCAGTTGTTGAAGCGGGTATGCGACAACAGTTGGTAGAAAACGAGTGATAGAAAAGGTGTGATGCAGCCTTATCACTTGATCGATTCAACAGTGGAGAACGGGTCTGGCAACACGCCAGATTCATCCTGCCTGGCACGCCCCTTCGTCCGCAACGAAAAAGACTATAATAGGAGTTGAACCTCAATAAAATCCGCGCATACTGTTAGTCAAGAAACTGGAAAGGAAATAAAACAATAGTCGTGCATAGTGAGCTATAGGGTACAAAGTTGTCTCATAAACAATATAGAGTAAAGTTGACAAAACTTTTCATTCTCAACACATAAGCTTAAGAAAAACGACCCTCAAGTATCATGTTATCATTTACCAGTATCATATATCATGGCATGTTTTTTAGTAGAGAAATAAGTAGAACTACTTTTGCTTGAAGTACAGTCTGGTTCGCTGCGGAGAATGGGGTGTGCCCGCGCGGCTGCGTTTGGCACGCCGCCAACCCGTTCTCCAACAGTTGTTGGAGCGGGTAGGTGGCAGTAACTGGTGTAAAAACGACTGATACGAATCATATGATACCATTCTCTCGCTAGGCGAAAGAAAAAAGAGGAAAGAGGAGTGGACGTCGCGCCAAACGCAGCCGCGCTGACCCGCCCCACCATCCGCAGTGGACAAGGGCCGTATGTCGACGAGGAGAGGATGAATTCACCCGTACATATGGCTACTGTACCTTGAAGGATCTAAATACGATGTAAAGGTGGTTGTAGAAGGTGTTCCTTGGGTTCCTGTGACGAAGAGCAGCGGAGTCGAGTCTGAACATGTTAGCTCGACGTGCGGTTAGGGAGACGCCGGCAGTCCATTTCGTGTCGTGCTGTCATGCTGTTTCGTCGTTGGTTTCGTCGTTCTGACACTAGAACGTTAGTCTTTCAGTACATTCTTCGTAGTATATAGTCACTAAAGCCTGTAACCTACCAACCTTGACTAGTTACACTGTGTAGCTTCTTCGTGTTGTGCCCTTCTGTGTAGACTTTCATGATGAGTTTTTTCTACATTCATTAGAACTTTCATGGATTTTCAGGGAGATGAGGATTGGCCGTCGAGCAGTACGTACTGCTTTCGCGGCTGCTGCCTTCCTCAGCGCGAAGGGTGCCCTGGAAGATAAAGTCACTTCAGCAGGAATTGAGACATACAGGCCTCCTCGGAACTATGCAGAGGTCCCGATAAGCAGAAAGGTAATGTTTCAAATATTTCTCTTTCGCTAATGGAGCCCCTAATGAGGTCTGCCAAGTGGGAACCATGTTTCAGATGTCGTTGTCACAAGAAAAATGCAATTAGAATTAGCAAAAAAAAAAACAGTTGAGCTTTTTCGAACAGGATGGCGGTACCTGAAGTTTTACAGTTTAGCGGAACAGATTTCTTGTGGTGACTGCAGGTGGTTTTGGTGCATCGAATGCTGTTTTCAGATAGGAAAAGAACTGACATAATTGAAACTCACTGACAACTGATTAGTAGTTGCTTTCGAGCGTTAATAACTTGGACTGCGCCTTTATTCTGTAGGTCCTACTTTATGGCATAGAGCGACTATATAAATAAAAACGGTGTTAGTAGTGATAATTCTTGACAATTTTTCTATGAATCACCAACCCCATTACCTTTGCTATTGGTTAAGGGTGCTAAGTGCGTGTGAGGAATATCTCCGATTGGTGGGTCGCCCCCAATAACTATTGAAAAGCGCTTCTGGCACATGGTTCGGGTTCTAGTCGGAAACTCGCAGTCAGTTGTTATATGAGTGCAGCTACTGTTCAATTGCTGGGATGAACTGTATGCGATTGAGAGATTTGAGAACGACTTCCGATTTTTGAGGTTGTGAAGCTTGTTCACTCTAAGCCGAGCTATACTCGACTAGTGATCTATGTAACTTCGTATAATAACCTTATTAGCTTGCTGAAGGTTAGGTAATGCGATAATCGAACAGAAAACAAGGATGAACTGCGTGTGAGTTATTTAAGGCGCCATCTGCATAGGGAGGGGCCACTTCAGCGATACTGATCCATTTCATACTGTCCAGGGAAGGGTGCAAAGAGAGGGTGACATGCACTGACGTCGTCTTAGCCGTGTTGGAACATCTTACATTGTCTCGTGTAGAGGGTGCAGACAAGCAGGCAGGGCTTCGCGCCGTTGGGGAGTGACTCTTCCCGAGGCGTAGTGCCATTAGCTATTTATTCAGTGCAAGACAAAATTATGTGAGACACAGTTCGGAACATCTAAAAACAAAGTCTTCACCGACGAATTTACTGTTGGGTAAGAGTTTCAAGTTGAACACTTTTATGCAAGAAATTCCTGTGTGATAAACTTATTAGCTTTCAGATTATCAACACTGCCGATAAAAGTGGACTCAATCTACGTTTATATCAGTACCAATCATGCCCTTTTTGTTGCAAGGTATTTCCATTGATCTTATTATAAGCTGTTTTGGGGCATTTTAGTGAGGTAAGAGGTTTTTGTGCATTAGTCCCAGGAGTCCGCTTTGCATAATGGTGTTAGTTCCTCCAATCTGGATCATATTTTCCCTTAAAAAGCGTTCATGCTTTGCGTCAGCATTTCGGGTCTTTTGAGCGACCTGGAAAGTATAGTATCGATCTAGCGTTAGCATCGGCCAGCGTTTCAAGCGTTTTGAGGGTCAATGTTTTGAGCGGCTATGAATGTATGGGTACCGATTCCGCTGAGAACGTTGGCGGACGTTGAAAACGTTGGTGGACTCCCAGAGTGCTGGATCGATATCCTTTCTTTTCTAGTCGCTGGAATTGCTAATGGGCGCTGAAAACGCTGGCGGACGCTCAGGACATTAGATCAATACCTATACTTTCCTGGTCGTCGAAGCGCTGATCGATATCCACACTTTTCGCTGAAAATGCTGGCAGCCGCTCAAATGCTGGAGAGACGCTCAAAACGTTGCCGCAAAAAGTGAACGCCCACTTAGACTTGGGCAGAAGTCCTCATTTCCTTGCTCCTATTGTTGTGGTTCGTTTATATGCGCTGTACGCCCTGCACGAAAATGTCTAACCTCGATGAAATGGCGCCCTAGTTTTTTTCTTTAGAACCAGTTGTGCCATAACTCATAAAGAAAAACTATATTTCAGGTACGGGCTTTCCTCGATTACTATGGATTTTCATATGAAGTTGTCGAGGTCAATCCAGTGACTAAATCTCAGATGTCATTCTCGAAGGGCTATAAGAAGGTGTGTGTTTCGTATCACTTTAAAGCTTCTCACCTGCTTTTCGTAATGTTCAACCTTCTGGCAGAAAATTAGAAGGTTTTTATCAGGTTCCTTTGATTACGAGCACGGAAGGCACATTCAAGGAATCATCGCTTATTATTTCTCAGGTTTGCCAGTCTCAAAGATTATTCTATGTTGTAACTGGCTGAACTCCAAAAGAGAGGAGGCACGGCACCACGCGCAAACCAGTCAGTATTCCCAGCCAGTTAGGGCTGGGTTCATCATTGCTTCAGCGACCACCAGCCGTACGCCAGCGCTAGTGACTAGGAGAGTATAGATATCGATCCAGCCAACGTCAGCGTCTACCAGCGTTGGCCAGTGCCCACCAGCGTAAAGGAGTGGAGAGTATAGGGGGGGAGGGGGTAGGAGGGTAGCAGACAGCTGGATTTGGCTTGCGGCGTGTGCAACCGAACCGTGCAACTGCTAATGCGCGGAATCATGCAACTTCGATGTGGACGCTGCCGTTCGCTGAATTGATAGCTATACTTTCCAAGTCGCTGACGCTGGCGTGCGCTCGAAATGCTGGCAGACGGTAGTGGACGCTGACCCAATTATGAAGGCAGCCAGACACGACGCAGCATCTCGTTGTCAAGCGAGTTGTGTCACAATAGCCGACCAAGCATAGTAGGAACGACCCGTAAGCAGCAAAAGGTTGATCTCTTTACAAGGAAACATCACGGCGCTGTCCAACGTCAGCATGCAGCATCAGTTCTACGCCCTAGTGATCTGACGTGTTCAAGCAGCCCCGCGTCGATGGCTTTTTCTGCAACCACTCAACCATGCCGCAGCGCTGCTGGTCGAAAAGCTGCGGGCTCCTTCAAAGCGGAAGAGACGGCGGTTCTACGGCATTGCTGAGGATCAGGGTCTTGGGTTGATAAACGGCTGAAGCTAAAGCGCCATTTTGAAACAGCTAGGAATGCTGGTTTGCGCGCGACGTCGCACCCGGTTCTGCTTGAATGCACCCGTTTTTGACGTTGTATAGCAGTACTTGATTTGATCCTATTGTAGCTCACAACATATCTGAGACGTCCTGATCGTAATCTGTTTGAAATCGAAGACATGTATCCCACCATAGAAGCGATCAATGATGATGGAAAGGTGGTGAAAGTGTGCCCGAACAAATACGTCATCATGAAGGAGGATTCAAATGATGATGAAGAGTTTGCTTACGAGAGGTGGTCATGAGTTGTATTTGATGCTTTTGTTGTGGTGATAGCATAATACAAATGCGACGGTACTGTATTTGATGGGGCCGTGTGGCGGTGCGACCGGAGCTTGGAGACCACTGCCACGCAAACTCTACTCCTCTTTTTTTTGAGGCTGGATCTAGAATGCGAGTGAGCATGTGGTCGCCCCTCGCGGTGGCTCCATCATGGACAGTAGAGTCGACAAGCGATCCAAGGAGGTTCAATTTTGAAAGTGAATAAATCAGTAGTTGCAGTGGTCCAGCGATTAGTGGGGGAGCGCATCAATCGCAACAGTTCAAGTGTTTCGATTTTGGCAAGTGACTCTCCTGGATCGCGCAGTAACGCAGCTTCGGGTTTTAAGAACACACGCGCCGTGCCACCCGCACTCCCGCGACACGCCCCAGCATCCGCGGCGAGCGATACTATGTGTATACTGCAGACGGTCACTCAAACTGCATGGAAGGGTTAGGGAAAGAGCGCAGGACCTGCGCTCGTTCTCTCCCGTTTTCTAGCTCCTCCAACCACACTCTACTTCATGCTTTTACTGTCTTGGATCGCGGCTCATCGCCAGTCGCCCTTGTATACAAAGCCGTCGTCAAAGCCAGTGTCGACAGACCTTTCTGAGGAGCACGAGTTGCTAGTATATCAAAATTCAGTTATTGACTCGCTATTTAAAGGTTTATTACAGAGAAGAACGCAAATGGCGTGAATGGGTCGACGACCATTTCATTCATCTGATTTCGCCTAACATCTACCGTAATTTTTCTGAATCTTTGGAGACATTTGAGTGGTTTTCCAAGGTGAGGATGATATTTAATCAGTTCATCACCTTCGGATTCATTGTAGTGCTCATATCGCATTTCAGTTCGGTGAATGGGATATTAATTTCTCTACTTGGAGTCGCCTTTTGGCCAAATATATGGGGGCCTTCATCATGTGCCTCGTTGCCAAGCGTCTGAAGAGAAGGTTCAATTAAGATCTGTCTTTTAAATCGGAAATTGTGCTGATAGTTGCAATTGTGCTATTAAGTCCATCTGTCGTCTTCGTTTTTATAGGCATAATATAGATGATGAAAGGCAAGCTTTGAAAGATGCTTTCAAGGAGTGGATGGATGCGATTGGACCGAATAGGACATTTTTGGGCGGTAATAAACCAAACCTAGCAGATCTTGTGAGTATCTAGCGCTATTATCCCAGATTTCTTAGCTTTAGCTTTTGCTGTTAATAATTTTTACAACTGTCACTATCGCATGGTCAGTGCGTGCCACATAAGGCTTCGTTCATAGTTTGCGTCAGTGTACGGCAGCATTTCGGGCGTACGCCAGCGCCAGCGACCAAGAATGTGTAGATATCGATCTAGCGAACGTCAGTGTCTACCAGCGTCCATCAACGAGTAGGAAAGTATGGATGGCGATCTAGCGAACGCCAATGCCTACCAACGTCTACTGCTATCCACTAGCGTGCACCAGGCTAGGAATGTATGGATATCACTCTGACGAACGCCAGTGTCTACCAGCTTACAGCAGCGTTTTCGCGGGCAGTTTTTCTCTAGTCCAAAAGTGCTCGCGACAACACTGCTCTACGCTGTTGGTCGCTAGATCGATGTCCATACTTCCTTAATCGCTGGCGTACGCTGACATGTGCTAGTGTACGCTGGCATACGCTCGCGTTCGCAAGATCGATATCTATATTTTTCCTGGTCGCTGGCGCTGGGCTCGAAACGCTGCTCTACGCTGACGCAAAGTACGAACGGTGCCTAAGCACCCGGGCGGGAAGCAGCTATTTCACGAATTGTGCGCTCACGGCCTTGATGTGGTCAGCGTCAATCACTGCATTGGTACTACTCTGAAGGTTACCATTCCAGGCAATGTATGGCGCTATGAACGCATTCGCTGGTTGTGGAGCTTTTGCCGAAGCTATGGAAAGCAGTTCGATCAAGCACTGGTACAACGCTGTGGGCACCGCTGTACAGAATCATGAAGGCCGTGAGCTAATCGCCCTCAGAACACGTACTCCTGCTATTCAACCAAAGTAGATTTTTACTTTGAGTCATACGCAGTATATAACAACATGAACCACCACCATGGCTCGCAAAATGTTTGCATGGGTTGGTCTCATTGTGATGCAGTGATGCTCTGCCTTTTGACCTTATTGCTCTTTTTTATCTTTTTTTTGTGTTTGTGGTAATTTCCTTGTATTTCGTAGTATAGGATAGTCTATAGAACCTTTTCTGTTGTTAATAGTAATAGTAATCGCTAGCATCGTCGGGAGTTGCTAGCGTTGTTTTGTTTTGTTTATCGTTTTCATTGCACATGGTACGTATCTTGTTACCTTGTTGTTTTTGATATATCGAAATAAACTTTCTTTTGTTTTTAAGATAGTGAGTATGTAATGCGTGGTGTACCAAGGGTGTTGCTCCTTGTTACGATGCATGCTCCGAATTTGAGTTGCTGTCGCATGAGTTCAGGATGACGTACAAGTACGAGCACCAAATCTGCGCGATGAAAATCAGATGTGTCGCCGCCGTGAACGCAACGACAAATCGGGACATGACCGTAGGCCTGGTTTGGTTATTTAGTTTTGAATACGTTCAATATTTTCTGTATTATACGACTTTTGCGCAACCTGGTTGATGTGCATACCATCGTTGACCCCAACTCTTGCCTGCGGCGCGGAGAGGAAAGGAAAGCAATCGGGGAGGTGCTGTGGATCTCTCTACGGCGCAGACCCAAAAACGCTTTACGCGATATCTCCACATAAGATCGTTGTTTATACATCCAGCGTTAACTACCCACAATTGTGTCTTACTCATTCGCTTTCACACACGCAATCTAACGGAGTGTAGCTGCAGCTACACCGTGAACTTCCTGAACTTATAATCCTATTGCTGTCGTCCCGCATGCGATCATATGTTACCATTTTGGGCGTGATCGCCTATAATTCAAACATTGAACTGCCCTGTGTCCTAGACTGTTTACATACGAGACCAAGGTTGAAGCGTCCAGAACCACGACAGGAATCGTATTGCGGTCGCAAGAAATGAGCGTGTTGTATCTTGGTTTGCAGCTTTTGACTTCCCCTTTCCAGGCGGTGTTTATTACCAGGGCTGTCCTGCCGTTGGGGAAAATTTCGGCGAGGCACGACCCCCTCCTCAATATTTAATTCTCTGGCACAAGTCTCTTCCTCATTCTACTCTCGAGCGCCAACCTGACTTCCCCCTCTAGCGATTAAATAGGACCCTCTCACTGTGAATCCTCATAGTACGCATGCCCTGCTTACCACTTTAGTTGGCGGCATGACAGTTTTGCTGTTTTTGACTGTTTGTGATAGTTGGTCAAAGGAGTCTACCACCCGTTCTCCACCTGGTGGATGGGATTACATTTTGGGGAACATTCCTCGACATCATGCCTGGGCAACATAAACGCTCGTCAGAATAGGCAAAGATAGCTATACCCTGCCTGTCCTTGCATGAGACTCTTCTTCCTATGAAGATAGCATCTCTAAAAGTTCTTCTCGTTCCGATGGATTTTCTTTGGTCCCAAAGGCAGGGCCTTCTCTTCTATTATCCATGTTTATCCATGCCAAGTGAAGGTCATACTGCGTGAAGATTTCTCATGGAATGGCCGTGTATGTCGACCATTCTGAGAAAGTTCAAGAAATAATAGGAATTGCTGAAGCATTTGAGGGTTTCCATTGAATGAGCCGCTGCAGTATGTCTAGCAAGTATCGCAACAAAAGGTGACGTACTTATGCAGCGTTATTTACAGCAAGCTACCAAGCCTGAATAAAAGGAAAGCAGAACCCCGTCCCCCTCCCTCTGCTGAACGCAATCATATTGTTTGCGTCGTCGTCATGTTAACTTACACCACGGCTATTTTTAAAGGACTCAGCGCTTTTTTGAGGCGGAAGTAATGCAGTAGCAAGTGGCGCTCTTATCACGCGCGCTGCTCGTGGGTCAAAACTTAAACTGGCTCAGGCCCAGGTCAACCAATATCTCTGCCTTCTGTTATAGCGGCTCAGTGGCAATTTTGCCGTAGCACAGACGAAGGCGCATTGTACAACCGTTTGTCTTGGTTATAAACACAAAGGTGGCTTTTGGGGCTACGCACACGCCTCGAAAAGTAGGAGGCGAGGAGTAAAGGGAGAGGGTCGTTGCCATCGTGGTGATGACACCCTCCGGCACGCTTAATAGGTACCTCGTTCGTTTAAGAATAACTACACGGGTTGTACATCGACCTGTCCCGCAAGTCACTATGTAGGCCACAACGCATCCACTAAGCAACTACCATTCTGCATGGAAAAAAATGCATGTCGCGTACTAATAGGAATTTGCTCGATGGCAAAGATTTCTTCCTTTTATCCTTTATTCAGCATTTTTATGACAATATTCTTTGTGACAGTACGATGACTTGAGTAGGTCGCGAAAACTTTTTCTGAAACGCCGTAATTTAAAGTGTGGTGTGCACACTTTCGCGTGTCTCCGGACAGGGTACAGCATGGGGATGTGCGAAATGTGGTGTGAGTACGACCCCCCCCCCCCTTTCGAATGGGGTTCAGGCACGACCCCACCTCCACCTCGAGCGATGAGAGCATATAGTCGGCGAAAAAGTTGTCGAGCAGGGGGGTATACAATAACTATGCAACGTATATCCCACGGGCGTACAAGAATGCATATAGTGCATATAAAAAATTAATACGACCCCCTTTTCCACAAGAAAAAATCAACTATCAAAATAAATTTGTCTTACAAATACGACCCCCCCCCTCCCTCCCCAGAGCAAAAAGTAGCAAAAGTACGACCCCCCCCCATGGGTTTGGCACAACGATGCTGTACCCTGTCTCCGGATCTTTGTCAGATCCGCAGCCTACTCTTGTTTTTTCTTCCATCTTTCCCTCCCTTCCTTATGTCTTTTGTCGACCAATTTCCATCCTTCTAAATGCTTGGCCAGTAGATGCAAAAAGAAAACAACTCCGGACCCTATCAGCGACAGAATGTCCGGTTGGCGGAAGCTCCATATTGGCATTTCTAGCCGGTAAGATAGGTATAGCTTTTACCAAGAGCATGTAGAATGACTGAAAAATCTTGGTAATCAGAAAAACGTTTGCAAAAATCAATCAAGCACGTGCGAGCAATGCCTTTTCTGCTTTTTGATTTATTAGAACAATGAATGCACAGCTGCTCAATTTTTAAGACAGATCCCCAAGAGCTGATGATTGCAGATTCTGATCATTGTATCAAATGTAACTTATGCCAGTCGGGCTGAAACATCAAGTAGCGGGAAATTAGCCGGTTGGCACGACTCCCCTCAGGAGGAGTTGTTTACATGACACCACCCCCTCTCTCGCACCACTCCCTTGTTGACAGCAGGTAAGCAAAACAGACACCAGCCCATCTGCTGGACGCAGCTGCACCGTGTGCGCCGCCACTGAACTACCGTATCTCACGCCTAACGCTAAAGAGCTTCTACGGTTTCTCCCAAATATTTGTCACCAATTCGTCATTTTTTTTCTCTTCTTTCACTCATTTCATTCATGTTCTTTGGACGTTATTGACTGCTATTCAGTATCACTACCCCAGTCCTCCACTATCGAGCCAGTTTTTACCGGCTTTTTTCAACGGTGGCGGATTTGGCTGAAGATTTATTACTAGGGGTAGCTTGACATCTCGAGCACAAAAATCACATCTGAATGGGGTGCTAGTTTAGTTAAAGACAGCCCCCGCGATCAAAGTGGCTCGTGGTCGCCTTTGCTGTGCAAGTAGTCTAGCCTCCAAGCTAGAAGACTGTTCACCTTTCGCGACTCTATTGTGAGCGTGGAGGCTGCTATAGCCGCTCAAAGTGCTAGTTCTAACTCCTCCTCAGTCGGACCGCCTTTACTTGCTAGATGTCCTCCGACGGAGGCCACTCACTTGTTCTTAGTTGGGGCGGCGGGCATTGCTAATGCCCCTGGATAATTCTGCTCTCCTTCATTACAGTTTACTCATTGGAGGTATATACATTCAATTCAACCCATTTCGCGAGGTGAAACGCGTAAAAAACACGAGTGACGCAATTTTCGTGATGCAAAACCACGACGCACAAAAGGTGCGCTACCGTAATCACAAATTCAGACACCGTGTTGATAAAATTCCTTTTTCCTTCCCAGAGTTTTTCCTCTGCGTTTTTGTTGTTTTCTTTTTGTATTCTTTCTTTTTACTACTAGTAT